CTCTTCGCCTAGAAATAGAGGCCGATACGGCTACTAGTCTCGCGCTCGCTACGGAGATATAGGCTTAAGACCGTCGCTCGACCCGTAACTATAAGGTCTTTTAGGAAGTTAAGGACGAGCGCGCTAAGGCCGAAGTAGCGCGCAAGAAGGCATTATATACTCGCTAGGCCCTCTGTAAGGCTACTAAGAAGTATAGCGCCCCTTCTAGGACTAACTATAGTACTAACTATAGTAACTCGGATGTTAATATACTAGATATACTACTAGAAGATGTCTCCTCCGAAGGCTCCTTTAGCGAGCGTAGAGATAGAGGGCTCTCGCCGATCCTATTAACTAAGAACATCTATAGTTCTTATAAGGGCGACTCTATTACGTACCTTATTACTAAGATCGATATAGTTCCTAAAGCCGATATAGGTAAAGCTCCTACCGCCCTATCTATCTATTAACAGCTCGACGACCTTAGTAAGCTAGGAGAAGAGCCGTTCTCTATATATACTAACTATATTAAGAAGGCCGCTAAGGTCTATAGTCTTTATACTAGTACTAAGGCGAGTGTCCTCGTCGGTCGCCTATTAAAGATTAGTCGCGAGGTTCCTAATTAAGACGCCTTCGCTGCCCTTAAGGCTAATTAGGCCTATACTAACTAGTTTCCTAGACGCCCTATTGCCGCCCTAATATCTCTAGGACTCTACGCGTTTAACCCTACTAGTACTATTACTCGCGCCCTTACGCTAACGGATCGCTAGAGTAAGTTCGTTACCGGCATCCTTAGCTAAGGCACTTCCTTCGACCGCTTTCGCTAGACTAGCAATACTATCTTCCCTTAAGTCTTTAGCTAGTTATAAGAGCCTCGTAGAGTATATCTTCCTTTCCTTATCGACCTAATATAGGAGGAGTTTGAAATGTACCTTTAGTATATACATACGATGCCTAAGTCTAAGTAGGAAGGCCGTAATGCCCTTTAAACTTATAGTATAAGTAACTAAATCGTCCGCTAGTACCCTACCCTATAGCTCTTAGCTGTCGCCCTTCGACCTAATTACGTATACGAGGTAATCTGGACCGGCGTCCATACTAAGTTCTTTAAGGTTAGCGGTACTTATAAAAACTGTCCTTCTAAGGAGTCTGCTCGTCTCGGATAAGATATAGTTAAGCTCGTAGCTAGCGAGGGTACTAGTTACCTACGTATTAAGGTCTGCCTTATATCTAAGGATAAGACTAGCTGCTCTACTATTATCGAAGGCATATATTAGCCCGAGGTCTTTACGAACTAGGTTAAGAAGCTTAAGGCTCGTAGCCTAGTCCTACTAAGCAAGATCGGTAAGCTTACTAATAAGCACCTTACCGACGACGACCTCGACTATATATTCGATAGTTAGCCTAATAGTAAGAGGCGTAAAGCGGAGTAGATCCTTAACCCTCTAAAGGAGTACGAGGTCTCTATTTAGATACTATACCTACTATATAGTAATCTAAAGACTAAGAGCAACCGTATATTAATTAACCCGGGCTACTCTCGCGTTATTAATAGCACTAAGGTTAAGGGCTACGAGAACTTAATAGTCTCTTAGGTTGCTAAAGCGCACCGCAATCTAACCGCCCTCCTAGCCTCTAACTCCTTTGTACTATTCGCTTTCCCTATAGCTATCTTAGTCGAAGGCCTCGGCTATATCTCCGACGCCCTAGTTAGTAGGATTCCTTAGTTAAGTTACGTTATTTAGAACGAAGTTAAACAGATCCTCTAGCTTAATAACGAAGGACTTAAGGAATATCTATACGATTAGGAGAAAGCTACGACGGAAAAGGCTGCTAACCTCCTCGTTAATTAAGCTTTCTACGAGGGATAGTACTTCGGTACTAATAGCTTTAACGTATACGGAGGAGATTTCGAGAGCCGACTAGTAGATAAGGTTATTACTAGTAAGGATTACGGCGCGTTAAAGCAATAGTAAGTCTGTATAGTATTACTTAGGAAGTTGTTTTTATATAATTATAGTATCTAGGATTAATGCTACCCCGGGGATATTATTACGGAGTTCTAAAAATAGCCTTAGCTAAGAACGCTAAGGATGCATATATGTTTGTTTTAAGCGCGCAATATAAAGCGTGTCTAGTTAGATACGAAGAAAGGGAGGGATATTAGCTAGTAACCGGCCCTATACCTATAGGCTAGTTTTAAGCCTATATAAGAGGCCTCCTTCTATAGAGTAGACAGATTATCAACCTCGTATAGCATATTGTTTATATTACACTTCTATAATGCCTATATTACAGGGCTCTAGTTATTAGCCTAAGCGACAGTCTCGTTATCCTATCTTGCTAAACATAGCTGCCTATATTACTATAGGTTATGTTACCCTCGGTAGCCTATACTATTGCTACGAGTAGTAGTAGTAGTGTTAGTTTCCGTCCTTTACTAGTACTTAATATTAGAGAATAGTTTAGTTAGAAAGTATTAGAACTTCTTAAGGAGGGCTTCTAGGGAAATCGAGAAGTTCTACCTAGATCTAGATAATAACATTCTACCGAGCAGTTAGGGAATTAAATAGCGAGCGAAAGGATAAAATTTATACCTAATAAGTATAGTTTCTAAACTAAACTATAATAGCTTATATATATATATGCTTTTAATTATTTAGTGCCCTTAGCTAATTGTCTATAGATTTAGGGTTATATAAGTACCTTCCTATAACTAAAAAATGCCGGCTACGCTACCGGCTATACTCTCGTATCTTATAAAGGGCTTACTCCGAGTTACGTAGACATTCTTATACTTCTTAGAAACCGATAAATTCTATAGTTTGAACTAGCTAATCCTATAGTTGCTTAGTAAACCTACCTAAACTAAACTAGATCTTTAGCTTAGCAAACTAAACTAAACTAACCCGAACTACTACGGGGTCTACTTAAAAAGGCCTACTAAAAGGTCTCCTAGTCGGTATTAGACTTGTTATCCTTTTCTAGGTAGCTAACTAGTATTCTAAGGGTTCGGTAAAGCTTAGTAATAGTAGTCCTCGTAAGGGACTAGATTTTATACTAGTCGGACTCCTTATTAAGTTCGTACTCGATTAGGGAGTCCTTAAAGCGCTCTATATATACTATAGCGTTCTACCCTTCGAATAGGAGGTTTATACCGCTTCCTAGCTCTAGTAGACGGCGCCTATTCTAATAGAGAAGCTTAATCTACTTCTCGATTATCTTTATAATAATATTATAGAGAGCCTCTAGCGTAGAGGGCCTAATAGCCTCTCCTAGGTTAACGGCACTTATAATAACTAGTCGTCGCTTAATTTACTCGTTAATAGAATTAGGGGGATTGTCGGAGTTAGAGGATTCTACTAATTCGTAATACTCGTCTTTACTTAAGCTTATTTAGTTATTATAATAAAATAGTTAAAATATTAATAAAATGCTATATAAAAGTGTTTTTAGTATAGTTAGTAGGTTTGTTTCGCTATTACTATACGAGAAAGTAGTATAATAGGCTATTCTTCCCTAATAATATCCCTAGGGTAGTATTAGGCTTTAGCCTCCTAGTAGTCGCCTAGATACTACTAGGAGCTCGATTTAGTAATTTTTAATAAAAAGCCGCTTATAGGGAGGAATACTATAACCTCTATTTACTCCTAGATCCTAGAGACTAGCTCTCTCTTATCTCTTTTAGCCGAGCGGGGGATAGGGGCCTTCTTTTCTTAGTAGAAGGCTAAGTACTATCTAAGCGAGGCTACGAATCGGGGAGTAGTCTACTTAATTAATAGGGGAACTCTCTAGTTATCTAACCTATAGTCTAGAAGTTACTATCGATTAATAGTCTTAGTAGGACCCGGTAAGGTTAATAGGTAATTAATCTATCTCCCTCTTTAGGCGACTAGTCCGCGTTACTATCCTATAACCGGGCCGGTAGGTAGTAGCTTATCTCGAGTAAGCGGTACTAAATAGGTCTTCGACCTAGAGCCGAGTCCTTAGAAACTAGCTATAGTCGTAGACTAGGCCCTAAGCTATAATAGTCCTAAGGGTTTATAGCTTTTTAGGGTTAAAGAGATACCCTCGTTAAGAGGTTCTTTACTTATCGTAATAGCCTATCGAGATACTTCTATATCGTCTATATTATAGGCTCTTATCGTACCCTCGCTTCGGTTATAGCTATTCGTACCCTAAGACTACCTTCGATATACCTATACCTATTAGATATAAAGAGATAGCCCTACCTTCGGCTCTAATAAAGGACGGAAACTAATACTACTACTACTAGTAGTAGTAATATTATAGGCAACCGAGGGTAATATAACCTATAACAATATAGGTAGCTATATTTAGTAAGATAGGATAGTAAAGAAGTCGCTTAGGCTAGTAACTAGAGCCCTATAATATAGGTACTATAGAAGTATAATATAAATAATATACTATACGAGGTTAATAATCTATCTACTATATAGAAGGAGGCCTCTTTTATAGGCTTAAACCCTAGCCTATAGGGATAGGGCCGGTTACTAGCTAATACTAGTAGCCTCCTATACTTAATAAATAGAGCGGCGAGAATAAATTTTCTAATAATAGAATATAATAAACAAGTTAATTATATAGCTAAGGCTATCGGCTATTTAAAAGGTTCTTAATATATACTACTATATAAGATAGTATCTAGATTCTTATATAGAGATTACTTCTATAGCTATAATAGAGTAGGGTCTCGAAGTAGTACCGTAACTATATTTAGCTAGAGAATCGCGCGGGGATAAATACTATAATAGAGCTAAGCCGAGACTCGAAACATTCGGTTTAGTTCTAGGGATACGCTATAACGAATTCTCTAGTAGTAAGTTAAACGCTAATAGTAATAGTAAAAGTAAAGACGGCGGCGTCTACGTAGGCCTAGAATCTACTAGGCAGGTATAAATTGTCTTTATATGCTTATATACTAACCCTTAGTATGCGAACGAGGTCTAACCTCTACTAAATATTATAGACCGAAACTTTAACAACGCAAGAGCATCCTCTTAACGCCAATCCGTAGGTCCAAACGTCTGTCCTTTAGGAACAGACATATACCTACAGTCTTTGAAGTCGCATGTAGAAGAATACTTCGTTGTTCCCCACCAGTCTGGAAACTATTCACACTGTCAGCTTCCGAGAGATTCTCTCCCTCCCATTTGGAAAAAGCAGATCCCCAACGTAAGAGGAGAATTCGGACACACCTCGACTTTTGCGTTGGTAATGGCAAAGAACTGGACAAGTGCAGACACGCCAATTCCTGCGGTCAGGGCGGTAGAGAGTACCATGGCATATTTGGACCACCATCCGGGGCTTCTGGTCTTGATGTACGAGCCGAAGAACCAAGCGAAAGGTACAGCCTGGGCGAACATTGAGAAGTTGAGAGGAGCCCAGAGCACGCCACCCAGGACTATGACAGGTCTTATTAGTATCGCTTCTGTGGTGAGACGTGAGCAGATGGCTGCGAGACGTACGCAACAGAATCGGGTGAACATGGCGTAGGACGCTTCCCGGCCATCTTTTCTTCGCAAAGTACCAAGGCAGCGGCCAGAGTGCTCCCGCCAACAAGCAGAACATGATTTTCCAGTATGGCGCGCCGACATGCTACAGAAATCGACCGGATTAGCTCGTCTCTCGGGTGAATCTCTTTGCTGTCGGGCGCGATGGCGTCACGAATACATACCGTGAACATGCGACGAGCTCCTAGCAGGCCCCAACCTATGACGCTGGTGAAACTGGTATGAACGCTGCCACAAATCCAGTGATCCGATGCCTTTGGATCGCACATCTCCTTCAGACCGAGTTGGTAGTTCACCACAGCGACGATCGTCACGGATGAAATGCAAACGGAGGAGACCTGAGCAGCAAACATGTGGCGAGGAGGGATTTTGGCGTAATGACCAAGCTTCATGTCGCTCATGAAGGCAAGCGCCTGTGTGATGATTGCATTTCCCAGACCCCGGAACAACAAGAAGGCGGAAGGATTATTATGAGTGATGTAGCTGCTGATCTAGATCAAGTGAGAAATGTCAGCGAGCACGCGCATCAAAATCAAAGCGGGTTCTATGGAGAATACCAGGTCAAAGAGGATTTCAAAATTGGCCTCGTAGCTTGCGATCGCGAGGATTGCGCCAAAGGGCACAACAAATACCATCGACATCACGATGATGACTGGGATAATCCCTACGATCGTGTTAGATGCGGCGGCTCGAGAGGTGAGATGGTTCGATTTTACAGCCTGGCGTGTCTGTCGGGTATGCATACAGTGCAGCGAAACCGAAGGCTGCACCCACAACTCCTACGCTGATATACCATACCTGGAGACCCTCAGTCAGCGTGAAATCAAGATGGTCGTAGACAAGAGGGACATGCTTCCGGCACTTCACGGTATTTAGTCATCAGCCGGGAATGGGCATCTGGAAATTCATCGTGTACTGATCTGCGCTTCCAGGCGCTCTTGAAGATGCTCCAAAAGGTCTTGCCATAATACAGACCTGTAAAGACCAGTGCTGCGGGAATGATCTTTGATGCGCGGTTAGCAATCGTACGCTCTGAAGATGATTCACGTACCGCTAGGAGAACTCCATATCGTAGCACCAATGCAGCGGGGAAGAACAATGGCGAGTACTCCTCATATCCAGTCTGATTAAGTCTCCCATGTGAGTCCAGGATGCGTTGTACAGAGTATTTCTTTCCTGTATTGTCAAACGTGTAGAATGCGTTGATCGGCAGATACGCTGTATGCCAGGTATTGGAGAAGAACACTGGGATGATTACAGCCACTGCCCACACCAGCACCGCGAGCACGAGCTGCAGGACAACAAAAAAGGGATTGACGATAGGGTCGATCACGCCAGCAAACCAGTTCCAATCGAAGGAATTCACAAGCGGGTTGAGTCCCAAGTTGAAATAATATGAGCCAGTAAGGATTGAAAGGGCGGCATTTCGAGGTGCAATCCAGGTGGTCCAATTGAAGAATGTGAGAGTGGGGAAGATGGTGTTCGGGAGCCAAAAGTAGCTGGCATGCCATTAGCCAGACTCAATAATGTCGTGAAGAGCCACGTAGTTTTACCAGAACATTGCTCCAAATGTAATGAAGAAAGCGCTGAATCTTGATATTTTCCAACCGCCGACTGGTCCGGTGTCTTCATTGTGAAGAGCTTTAATCAAAGCCGCTTCGCCCAGACTACTGTAGAAGATCATCTGAACGGGATAGATGATGAATCTACGAGTCAGACCACAGAGACTGAAACCGCAGACCTGTGCACACAACAACAGGCATAGCTGAAAGCCCCATTTCCCAGCCCATGGCCTGTCTAGAAACATTGGTAGGTGAAGGGCGAATATGATCTGGGGAATCGCAAAAACATTGAGGGTAGTGATGTCGGCCATGATTGTGATTAGCATGTGCTCCTTCACGTTAAATGGTCCTGGATTCAAGGTGAATGCGTATTTTGTATCCGGGAGGAACACCCTCGTGGGAAGAGTGGCAGCACAGAATCTGCCCATTGGGTAGGCGAAAATTTGGGCAATATAGACAGACAACGAGATGCTTGGATTGCGAGGAGCGTAGAAGGTGTTGAGTGCGGCGAGACCTGCGGCCCACATGATGCCAATCACGTATGCGCGGATGGTTCCACACGGGGTGTCCGTGTTGTCGTGGTTGTTAAATACAGACCTCACCTCACGGTAGGGGGAATTTCTTGCGAACACGGCAGCAACAAGGATCGTTCGAGTCTTCAGACTGTCTTCGATTGGCTTGTTCGATGGTTCAGTGGCGTCTAATAAGTGATCGATCTCTGCCATGATCGACTGAGGAATCAACATATCGTCGCTACAGGCAGATTTAGCACCAAGACTCGAATGAAGCAATACTACTCCCGCTCCGTCGTACCTGTGTGTTTCATACACACCGGCCAGCGCAGATCGAGCGTCATCGAAGGACATGGACAATGCATCGTTCACAGCCTGATCGAGGTCGTGCTGAGTGATCCCAAACTTGATGAACGCCGAGGCAGATGCATTCCGGATTGATTCTTCGTCTTTCTCCTACGATGACATGTCAGAGGTACATTTTCCCGGCCGCAGCAGGAAGAGATAAAATCTGACTGTGGACGGCACATTGGCAGTGCGTTTCGGATCCTCCTTGTCGTTCAAATTGCCAGACATTTTTCAGTCGCAAATCCGAAGATGTTTGCTGCAAGTGCGATGGCCCGCAGAGCGCAGTGCGACACTCGGATCTTTATCCATGGTAATCTTGTTGTTGGCATTATTGCCAGACTTGATAGATAGCCTATCTAAGCATGCGGTGGAAGCATTTGCCGACATCGTGATGGCAGGCTACCCATGCGCTGATGTTCCAACGTTTCGGTGCCACACCCTCTTTTAATAGGAGAAGCAGATTATGCTTGTAATGAGTTGCGATCTGCCACTTAGGCCCTGTATACTTCGATAATATATAGCATATTATTGTCTAATAATACGCATAATATAGCTGTCTCTTTCAATAATATGCTATTAATAGTGCGCTACCTAATCTCGCTACTCGCTGTCTACTTCTAGTATATATATACGTATTTTAACTACGCTGTTAAGTATAGTTAAACCGCTAGTTTTGCGATACGCCTAGAGCATATCGCTAGCTAGTTTAAAGCCTGTTCGAGGCCTATAGACCTTCTTAAAATAGCTAGTATATATTAAAAGCCTATTTCGTAGTATAGTCGCGTTCGCGTAGCGCGTTGTATATAGGTCGTAGAATCGATACAATCGGTAGAATTAGAGCGCGTTTTCGAGGAAGTAGTAGAAGAAGGTGTCGATATCGCATTGTCGGCGGCAATAGTAGACTTAATCGAGGTCTCGTACGTACGGCGGAGCGATCGTATTATAGCGAAGGAACGACGAAGACCGCTAGGCAAGGTTACTACTTTAGTAGACTTATAACGAGGTAAGAAGTTAATAAACGAGTACCTATATAGACCTAAAGAATACAGCTTAGCGACGATACGCCTACGGTAGCGTATACTACGCGCCTTAATCGATTATTTAGTAGATAAGAAGGGCCTTACCTCTAGCGGCAAAGTCTAGCCTACTTAGTAGGTAGTAATGTTCTTAGACTATTACGCTTACCGGACGACGTATCGCTAACTTCGTCGTATTTACTAGGTATCGTTACGTACGGTTAGAAGAGCTATTAATAGCGTATCGCGCCTGCTTATTAGCATATATCCGGACTTTATAAAGTTGCTAGACGAGCGCTCGTTACCGCCGCCTTCGTACGTAGAAGACCCCAAATTCTAGCTATTCTTTGCTAGTTGTATAGGTACGTTAGATAGCTCTTACGTACCTATTAAACCGAAGAACGTAAATCCGGATAACTATCGCAATCGCAAGGGTAGCGTATCGTAGAACGTGCTAGCGGTATACGACTTCGAGATAAACTTCGTCTATATTCTTACTAAATATAAAGAGTTAGCAAACGATATAGAAGTAATAGATTTAGCAGTTAGCAAGAGCTTCTATATACCTAAAGGTCGCTATTATCTCGCGGATAGTAGCTATTCGAAGAACAATCGCCGTATTCTAGTGCCTTATCTAAAGATACGGTACTACCTTCGCGAGTTTAATACTACGTAGATAAAGCCTCGTATAAAGGAAGAGTTATTCAACCTCCGCTACGCTTAGTATCGCAACGTTATTAAGCGCATATTTAGCATCCTAAAGATACGCTAGAATATCCTCAAAGACGGCCTAAACGTAGGCTATAAGATCTATATAAATGCTCGCTTTATTAACGCCTTAATCGTCCTTTATAACTTTATAAACAAGAACGGACAATACTGCTCTATAGAGCGCTAGAATTGGAAGCCGGAAGATCGTAATAGTCGCATTAATAGCGCTTATAGCTATAGAACTAACTATAAGATAGAGGCTTTTCGCGATAGGGTTGCTTAGGCAATGTAGGATTAATACCGTACGATTGTCCGTTAAAGGGAGTCGTTATAGTAGAAGAAGAGATAGAAGAAGAGCTAGAAGAGATTGTTATAATAGTCGGATTTGTTGCGCGAATTCTTTAGATACACCGGCATATTGCCTAGTATCGTAATACTTAGATTTTAGTCGATTTAGTATAGGGAAACTAGCTACAATCCCCGCTAAGACTACCCTTCGATACGCATACGCATTTCAATAGTTTGTTAATAGAAAGAATTTAATAATTAGGCGGGGTCGTATTCTCTATTAATCGGACTCGAGGTAGGGTTAGAGATACTAAGAAAGCCCGAATATACTAGGTCGATACTAAGCTATATATATAATCGAGAAGCTTACTAAAATTCCACTAAAACCGAGACTTTAGAATAGTTTAAAATCTACCTCGTATTATCGGACCTATCTAATATCCTCTGCCGACAAATATAGCTATCCCGCTAAGCCTTACGCTAAATCCTAAAAACCGTAGTAAGTCTAGTACTATAATACACTACAAATCTCAACTATATTAGCTAAATCGTTGTATACTTAGCAATAGCGGTCTAGAGTAATACCCTTGTAACTCTTGCTAACTATAATAACTAGGCTAAGGTGTTAGTATTGCGTAGTATACCGACGTCGAGGTTCCGTATAAGGGCGTCGAAGATAGGCGTAGATCTTACTAGCTTTAGGCAGTAATTATAGCCTCTCGCTCTTCCTTCTTATTCCTTTCTTTACGCAACTTCTCGTCTAACTAATACTCGACAAAGCTCTAGTCTATATCAATAAAGGCAATAATATCCTTATAGTTTGCTTTCTCGGCGAGAACCTACGTACGAATTACGTACTTGTCCGCATTTACTAACTCCTCGTACGCCGAGAATAACTTTAGTCGAGTTAACGCAACTATACGCTCGCTCTACGGCAACTTAGGCGCTCGAGAACGAGCTGTTCTATACAACTCGATAGTACGCTTTAGATTAATAGCGTTACTCTAAGACTTCGAAGAGGCAGTCTCGACTTCCGTAACAACCTCCTTATAGTAAGAGCGCTTCCTCGTAACACTCTCTAACTTAGAAGACGAGGCGGCGGCGGCGGCGGTAGAAGACTCGCGTATAGTAGCGGCTTCTACTAACCTCTTTGCTAACTTAGTATATATAGCGGCCTATTACTCGTCGTCCGTCGTTTCTATACTACTCTCGACCTTAGATATATTACTTCTACCGTTAGAATCGCCGCTATTGTCCTTATTAGACTCCGATCCGCTATCGCTCGAGACGACGACTACGCCTCCTTCTACCTCCGCCGCTTAATCCTCGTCTGCCTCCTTCTCGAGCTCCGCCGCCTCCTTTACTATCTCTCTAGTCGCTAAGTTATCCTTCTATACGTATTTATATACGTCGTATAGTAAGGGCAATTTGCGCTCGAATAGCCGACACTTCCTATAGCGCTTAGGATACTTAGCCTCCTTCTCGAGGGTACTAGTTAGCGCTTCGCCTTCGAGGAAGGTCTATCCGCTAAGATAGCTATAATAGACCTTGTATCTCTTATAGCGCTTCTTCAACTCCTTTACCTAGTTTGCGATAGTACGGAAGTCGATAAGAATACTAAACTCCGTAGTTAGCGTCCTTCTGTAATTACCTAAGTGTTTATCCTTAAAGCCGTTAGCTTTAGTTATCTTCTTCTCGTCCTTTAGCGCCTTTAATAACTCCCTTAATCTATTAATAATCTTTATACTATTGGCGCGCTATAGCACCGATTTCTTGCGTAGTTTAGACACCTTCTACGTAGACGACCGCTTCCGCTTCTTCGAGCTGTTTAGAGACCTATATTTAGTCTTAGTTATCTTCTTCTTCGACGACTTAACTACCTTCGGAGCTATATTTTAGACACGATATAGCAATAGCAATAGCAATAGTATAGATACGCGTAGACACGCGAGGTTGGAGCCCTTACTAAGAGCTAGAAAGCATAAAAACCAAGGTTGTATACCTTATTAATATGCGCAATATAAGACGAGAATATTAACTACTTTGACAGCTAATAATATGCTATATATTATCGAAGTATATAGGGCCTTACGCGGTAGACGCTATTACGCACAGCGCAGTAGATTACTTACGTAATACTACATTGCCGGCGGTTGAATTAGCTTCGTTTATTGCCTATGTCTTAGTCTATTCTATAGTCTAAAATACAGTATAAAAATTCTTTATACTAAGAGGTTACGTGTCTGTTATGTAATTAAGCTAACGCGTTACACACCCCCTTAGCTTATATAAAAGGGTTTTAGGCAAGGTAGTTAATGCTTCTTTATATACAAACAAAAGAAAATTAATCCTTTTAACTCCTTATATAGTGCTTTATTAAAACACTAAAAAAATAGTTTAAATCTATACTATATATAAGAGAGTCAATCGATAACTGTAAGAAAATGGCAGCGAACAATCAGAGACGAAGGGAAGATAGTTAAGAAGGAAGGGAGGACGAATAGAAAGCACTATATACTAGGGCAGAGGAGGTGCTAAAGGCGGAAGATAGAAGAACCCCTAAGAGGGCATATAGGATAATAATCTCGGAACTCCTTAGAGGACTGAAAGCAATCTACAACTAGGCAAGCTACGTAATTACAAAGGTAGCTAATATAGTCGTAGCAAAGATTACGAAGAAACAATAGGAGACAAGCCTAAACCACCGTACCTAGGCAGTAGTAGCTAGTTAGGAGGCGCTAAAACCCCCGAGGACAGTAGTTAGAGTCTATATTACGGACCTATAGGAGCAAAAGGAAATCTAAGGACTTATAGGGAAAGAGATTATAGAAAGAATTATAGTTAAAGAGG